GTCCAATGGAGAGTTTCTCTTGTCAGCTGATGGAACCCCACAAAGTTGCTTTCAGACTATTGAATCCATTTTATTTCTAATTAAAACAGATGCTAATTTCCTTCCTCATAGTACATTTGCTCAAATATTGACAAATCTTCTGCTAAACACTTAACTATACATATCTTAATACATACGCAGGCACGTATATACCTATGCATATGTACAGACATGCACACACTTGGCAAAATTCATTTTTGTTGTTTATGAGAGCTCCCCAAAAACAATAAAAGATGACCTTTGGCAAACTGCTTATACCCACATCTCATCCTTTCTCGGTTTTTCGTATGCTGATACAAGTGGTTATGCCTTCCTGAGGCGTGCGTCACGTGTGGACTGGATTTTACCTTGTGTTATTTTCATTGGCCAAACAAGAACGACACTGCCCCTCCCTCCACTCTCCCCAAATTGGAAAACAGAAGGAAAAATAAATCTCTCCGAATGTACTACCTTAATGCCACAGTGATGACCGTTTTTGTTCATGTCTTCCAGTATAATTTGTAGACTGCTTTGTTTCACTTAACATTATTTCGTAAGTGTTTTTCTATGATACTAAATAATCTCTATAATTATCCTTTTAATGGCCACCCAGAGTGAATGTAAACCATAATTTACTTAACTGTTTACCTATTGTTAGGCATTTAGTTGCTTCCATTTTTCACTCCTTTAAGTTGGAATGCACATTTTCATATCAGCCATTAATTTAAAGCAGCATGCCGAGATTGGGTCTCCATCAGTAATCTAAAACTACAGGGTTTATATATTTACAACTCACATTTGACCATGAAATTTAATTCGAGGGTAATTAAGACATTTATATTCCAAACAGCTCCATGACATCTAGCTCTCTCAAGCCAAACAGGCACAACCATGACTAGCCATTTTCAGTTCAAGACAGCACAGTACAATGAATTCTAAAACACAATTTTCTTATGAAAAATAAACTTTATGAACATACTCCTGCTGCTTTAGAGCCAAGAGATTAACTCCACGAACCAGAGAACCGTGGTTCTCTTAGGTCACCCAGTCAAGGCAAGCCATCGTGGGGAATGCCATTGGGGCTTCGTGCTCAGTCCAGAACTCAAGGCAACTCTCACTCAGTGCTCCAACACCAGCTGTGTTATTAGAACTACCTGGAGGTCCGTGCCTGACCAGCACCAAGATACGCTGTGGGAGCAGGACAAGGACATTGCTCAGATGAGTTTCAGTTGTTTAATGCTTTTAAAGTTTATCATGAATCATTTCAAGTTACAGAGTTCCTTGAGCAGAGGTAGTGGTTTAGGGCATGTGATTCATATGGATTGAGCTGTTTCAATAGGTGTGGCCCACTAGCCATGTGACTCTGAGCAAGCTGCCAAAAAAAACCACCCAAAACCATGTGCCTCAGTTTCTCAATCTGCAATATGAGGATATAAGTAGTGGCTGCCCTATAAGGATGTGATAAGGATCAAATCTGGCCATGAAAATGCAACTGCTGTGCATAGGGGAATGCTGACATTTGATCGGCACATAGGAGCCCTTAACTACATGCTTACTGAATGTTAACGTTACGTGGTAACATACGTACTTTCACTTGCCAAATAAATGCATGAAGGAAGGATGAATGAAGTAGTGTGGAAGACGGTTACACTTGTCTCAAGGACAGTCCTGTGTAGAATGCCCCACTTCCTTTCATAAGGACATCATTTTCTTAATGGTAATCACTATAATCCTTACCATCCACCCCTAATAAAGAGCAAATGAACACCCCAAAAAGATGTGTCCACCTTAGTAATTCTTAATGTCCAGAAATTCAATTTTAAAGCTTTAGAAAATGTTATCCAGCCATCAGAAAGAACTCATAACCTCACATGAAGCCCAAATAAACCAACCGTGAAAATTCCCCCCTGTTTTCCCTATCAGGCAATAAAAACAACTCAATTACTATTACTGTTTTTTTTTTTTTTCAGTCAGCAATAACAAACCAAACAGATTAAACACCCTAAGTATTACCATCATTTTTTACTAATAAGGAAATGATTTTTATGTACTAGCAACTCTCTATAAAACACAGAAGGGCTGGGAATTTTTTATTATTATTTGGCCACTGGCAATTAATTCTTCTGATTTGTTGTATTAGTTTGATGGTTGGGTCCAAGACCTAGAATATTTCTTAAGCCAGCCAACTGATGTAAGAAAATTATTTCAGTGCAGTCCCTAGCAAATGGTGATGATGAATAGCATGGCAGGACAAACTTATTCAGACACACATTTTTTAGAGGTAGCAGGGAAAAGGCTGAAAAATTACTAGTAAATTGCTTTTTATAAAAATGCTCTCTTTCAAATTTCCCCTAATATGAAGGTCTTCTGCAGAACGATGGTACAATACATTCTGACATACCTGGACAACAAAGGCAGTTAAAGGATGAATAGGAGATCAGAGAGAAGGTTAAGATTTAATTTTCTTATTCCACCCCCTCTGCCACCCATACTGTCCCCCATACCAAGCTGTCCTGGGTGCATCTGTTTAACCTGCTGGGATCAGAATCTCTAAAAGCCACCGAATCTTTCTCCTGAGCAGGCACACCTTGTCCCTCCTTCCACCTAAAATCTAGCCATCTCAAACGGAGCCAAGATATTGGTGCATTTCCAGTCTGTTTCTTTTTTTTTCTCTGCTTTCTAAAACTGTCCAGTTTTTCAAGTTTGAAATTGTAGCAATCTCCACACTTCCCCAGCACCTCGTAAAGCACCAAGGACTTCCTCTGCTGTCCACGCAAGCCTCGCCTTTCAGGACACACTATAGGATAAGGGAACAGGAGCCGGAGGCATCCAGAGGCTCAAGGGCTAATGCAGTGGTTCTCTGCCAGGCAAAACTCTGCTCCCAGGCTCATTTGGTAATGGCTGGAGACATTTCTAGTTGTCATACTGGGAGGGAGCCATGCTGCTACTTCTATTCAGAAGGGAGAAGCCAGAAGCCAGGGATGCCGCTGACCACCCTGCACTGCACAGGACAGCCCACCCGACAGCAAATGATCTGTCCTGAAACACCAATCGTGTCATGATTGCAAAACTGGTTCCATCTAAATCAAAGGCTGCAGAGATTATTTTGTTGTTGTTCTTAAACGTGATTACCTGTTAGTTGTTCATGGCATGATGTATGAAGAATTTGATTCCTTCACTCTTTCATTCAGTGAACAGCAGTGGAAGCCGGCAAGGTGGCAGGACCAGGCTGGGCTGAGATGTAGGGGTCAGTTTAACAAAGGGCCAGTCATACCACGTGCTTTTGGATGGGGGCTGTGAAGTTGTCTCTTCTTCCCATTTACAGAACCACCGTGCACCTCGGCCTGTCTAACTCAGTAAGGGCTGAGGAGGTGGGGAGGGGTCATGTCTCTGCCTGTTGGACACCTGGGTCTATGAGAAACAGCCTGGATTCAGAGGTCCACTAAAGCAGGGCACTGCTCCTGCCTGTGCTTCTTATTTGCTGTGTGACACAGAAAAGTGACCTGACATCTCTGGACCCTATATCCTCAAAGTGTAGCCTTGACCTTCAGGAACATTTCTAAGTCAGGTATTCTGCATGTGGACCAGCAGAGCATCTGGCACTCAAACCACGCCACTCCAGATGCAGTGGTCATGCCACGAGTGTCAAGTTCTCGTGGCATTTTCCAGTGAGTGCTGCCACAGGTCTTGGGGCTGGTTTTTCAGATTCCCCCAGGACAGGGCACAAGGTGTGTCTGCAGCCGGGCGGGGGTCAAGGTGGACCAAGCCTGTGTGCCTGCAGCTGTCACGGGCCCATGTCCATGACCTTGCCTCTCTGGGCACTCGGCTCCTGTCCACCTCGGTGCCTCCCATTTGACTGTTTTCTTCTCAAACATAAGGGGGAAAAAAAGCAAAGTCTCACAAACGACATACTTAACTCTATTTTCTTGCTTTAAGTGCAACTATCAAATAAGTTCTTCCATGTGCAGTAAACAGCTGTGAATCTGCCTAATAAAGTGAAGGCATTTTACCCCACTGGTATTCCCCGAGAGGAGTCACTGGCCACCTGCATCTTTTTAGCTGCATTTAATAATTCAGCCCAGGATGAATTTGCATGATTAACATAAAGCCTCATGGTTTTATTTTCTTTCAGAATGTAAGTACTGAAACAACCACCACCATTGTTTTCATTTTTGGAGGTTGTGATCAAAACACAAAACTTGATTCTAGAATGAATAATTTCCTTTAAAAAAAAAAATATTTCCAGTGCCACTCTCCATGGAATCAAAAGAGTTGCTAACACAGCCTTGGTAGATGCAGGGAAACCCACGTTCCTTTTAGGGCTGGTGTTAACGTGTTAACCCATGAGAAGCAAATCACTCCTCGACGACTTCTCCTTATGGTTCCCATCCAGGAGCATGGCCAGCTCTCCCACGGAATCCATAACGGCTCACGCAAATAGATTTCTCTCAGTTCCTCCTCGGAGGGCTCTCCACATTTATCTGCTCAAGACGTAGCCTCTCCAGTAAGTCTTTAAAACAGCAGTTCTCCCAGATTCCAGCAATAGATTAATGACGTCATCCTCAAAAAATAGTCAAAATGCAAACCAAATTAAGTAGCACTTGGTAAACCATCTGCCTGAGAAGGGGAGTCACGCGTGTGAAAAAATAATTTGCAAAGCAGAAGAGGCAGCATCATTGGGTGTCTTGATGAATGTAGTAAAACAGGTTTGTCTAACGGGGAAACATGCATTACCATCAAAAGAAAACGCAAGTGTATCCCACCTGGAAAAGCAAGCAGGCTTTCATATCGGAGAAGCATTTCAAGCCGTGCTGCCGGCAACCCTCAGCCCATGTGATTTTCCTTAACACAAAGGCCGACCTCACCTGCTTAAATAAAATTAGGAAGCAGGCCATCGTCGTAGTGGCTAAAACTTTGTGCGGCTGGAGCTTGCATGTGTATTTCTGTTCCACTGACACCTCTGTTGCTGTTTCTGAATGCAGGAACCATGGTCAGTAAGGACACCGGCAAATGCATACTCACAGCGTCGGAGAGTGACGTGGAACCTGCCGCCTGCCTGGCCCTGGAGATGAAATACGCCCTGGACCCCAACCGGCAGATTAAAAAACGCAACAAAGCGCTGCAGGTGCGGTTTAAGGATATCTGCGAGGCACAGAATGAGCAGAGGGACACACAGCTGTCCTCGGGCCAGCTGGGGGAGAAGCGGGAGGCCAAGCCCGTGTCCTGCAGGACAGCCTACCGCAAATACATGACAGTGCCCGCGCGCAGGTCCATCCCCAACGTCACCAAGAGTACAGGTGTGCAGACCTCACCGGACCTTAAGAAGTGTTACCAGACCTTCCCTCTGGATCGCAAAAAGGGGAACCTTAAAAGCCTCCCTGCAGCAGATCCCTTTAAAAGCCAAAACAATGGGTTTCTAACAGATGCTAAAGAGAATAACGAGGCTGGACCCACGGAGGAGGCCCGGCCATGTGGCGCAGGGCGGGTGCACAAGACCACAGCCTTGGTTTTCCATTCTAACGAACACATGAACGCAGTGGACCAGCCTCTGGGGGTCAACTGCACAGAGCCCTGTAAAAGCCCGGAGCTGCTCAGCTATGGCGAAGCTGCGCTCCAGAACTCCACTCGGCCCCCCTCCGAAGAGCCCAATTACCAGCTGCTCGGGAGGGCCAAGCACCACCGGGGGAGGCCGAACTCCGAGGAGCCCACTCCACCTGCCCTCGGAAGGGTGTTTAAAACAGAGGTTGCCACCGTTTACGCACCGATCCTCAGTGCCAGGGCCCCTGAGCCTGGTTTGTCAAACTCTGCGGCTGCCAGCCAGTGGTCACTCTGCCCAGCAGACGAGGAGCAGAGGAAAGTCACACATCTCAATGGGCTCCAGCCGCCCTCGGGCACTGCCCTGGCCTGCTCACCCCCCGTGCAGTGCCTGTCCCCCGAATGTAGTGAGCAGCCCTTGCAGACTCAAACCCCGCCGGGGCTGGGGAACCAGCCTAGTCCCACAGCGGTTGCTGCAGGTGAAGAATGCCAACAAATCGTGCCTCATACGGAAGTGGTCGACCTCAAAGCACAACTTCAGATGATGGAGAACTTGATTAGTTCAAGCCAAGAAACCATCAAAGTGCTCTTGGGGGTCATTCAGGAGTTGGAAAAAGGAGAGGCCCATCGGGAAGGGTATGTATGTTCACCTATGTCTTAGGAAACTATGCAGGCTCATCACCAGAGGGTCCATGTGTAGCCCCAAACCCAAGTCCATAATGAGATTAAAGCCAGCATTTCTGTAAACAGGCCACAGTGTAAGGACGTGGCCAGCTCCAAAAGGTCAGAAGGTCACAGATTATTTTATGATACCAGACCTCACTGCATCTGCACGATAAACTTTCTGGTTAATGTTCCTCTTTCTGGCCTTGGATTCAAACCATACCTATGCTTAGAATGAATGGATAAACATTTCCTTTTATTCTGCTAGGGTAAAGGTTTATGATATTGATCATATATAATAATTTATGCCAGTCCAAAATATCTATTCTAAATAAGAAGCTATTTGCCTCTTAGGAATCAGGTTAGGAAGAGAAAGGAAATTTCATGTGACATTTGGAAAAGTAGATGCTGACTTGCTTATAATAATACATAATGGAAATAATATTGGTATTCAGGTCTGTACAAAGCTTTACATAATAGACAGCGTGTTTTTCATTCTGTACCTGGAACTCAAGCAATGCCCATCGTGAGACAGGTCCCAGCTGTGTATGGTTAGGAGACAGATGCCCTTCCACAGGCTTCACTGCGTGTCCAGTGGGGCTGCAGAAAGAATGCTACCAACTTCACGGCCAATACTTTGTTGGGTTGGTAAGACTTTGTTGCACTTCACATTTTAAAGCTGAAACTGTGCAGCAGTTTCAGCTTTAAAACAAATGACCTAAAGGCGGGGCTTTAGTTCTTGAGCTCCCCTGCAGGCCGGCATGCGGTCAGCTGATACAAAGCAGCCTATGCTACTCTGGGTCTGTGGGTTATCAGACTTCAGCTGGACTGCCAAGACCTCTCTTGCGCATTGCCCCTGGAAAGTGTCTGTGTTCCTGCCCGCCTATGTTCTGGAGGTTATATCTGAGACAGTTCCCTGTTGCCTCATGTGATAAATGCACCCTTCACTCTGAGCCCTGAGCCCCGGGTATAACAAGCTAGAAGCCAGCTGAAATAAGCCAAGTAATGTGTTTTCAGGGCAGAAAACCACCTGGGCACAAAGTTTCCTTAAGAGCACTGTTGTGGCTGAGTTAGACAGTTGTTTGCTGACTGCAAAGAACAGGGAGGAAACGCCTCCGGCCTTAAGGTGGCGGCTGAGGCAGAAGGACTGGCTCCAGCAGCAGAGAGGCTGGGGCGGGTCCTTGGCTCTGGTTGCTCCAGCTTGGTGCAGGAGGCCTGTCTACAAAGAGGTGGTTCTCAACACCACCTTCCACCTTCTATTTACGTGGTAGGATTTGCACTTGATGCTCTTAAGCAGAAAGAATTGCCAGCCAAATGTACAAAAATCTTAACAGTAGATTCATAGGTAATCTCACACCATAGAGTATTTCCAAAAGGCCTTGTTCAGTCTTGGGTTTATAGCTCCATTTTCATCCCATTTTGATCAGTACAGATCTGAAAGCAACACTCATCGGGGGGGATGGGGGAGATCAGTGATTTATTGATCGGTAGCCCACATTCTCGCAAAAAAATTAAAAGCCTAAACAGTGACCCAGTCACTGACGTTGATGTAGTTGGTAGTCTATTACACCAGATAGCACAAGAGAAAGATGCCAACATCACCAGTTGGGAAATAACAGTCACCAAATGATGTAAAATGAAATGTGTACACTGATGTGCATACTCACAGGGGTTATGTGCCCAAATAAGAACCTGAGAAGGCTGAACACCCACGAACACCACTGGAAAGGAAAACCATATGATATACGTAAGGTCCTACTTACACTACTCTTGGAACAAGTATGGAAGATTGCCTTATCCTCAGGGTTCTCTGAGATGCCATCCGTCTAGCAGTGTGGTTCTGAGTTCACTAAGACATGTCTGGGTAGGAATTCTGGCACTGAGGGCTTGGGCAAGGGCTATACATCTCTGTGCCTGCCTTCTTCACCTGTAAGTTGAGATTATTGCCTGTCCTGCAGATAGCGGGTGGAATGGCACCGAGTGACCTTATGTGTTCAGCCTAGTGGCAGGTGTGTCTGAATGGGTAAATGTCTGCTAGTGGCAGGAGTCTTGGTCTTGCTGGTCAGCAATGCTGGAGCAGGGGTCTGGGGAGGACTTAGTGGTCTTGTGGGCGTCCAATGTGGTGAATGCATCTCCTATATGCCTGGCACACAGGCTGCCACACAAGACTGTCTCTGAAACCCTGGAGCTCCTCTGTCCAATACAGTGGCCACTAGCTGCATGTGGCTACTGAAATTCAAACTCAAATCAATTACAATTGAAAATTCCACTCCACAGTCACAGCAGTCACATTTCAAAGGCTCAGTGGCCACATACATAAGGGAGTGCAGATATGGAACATTTCCATCATCAAGAAATGTCCTTCACTCTGGCATCCCAGAACATGGCACAATGCCAGGTTCTTAAGTATTTGAGGACTTGGGCACCTTAAATCAAGACAAAGGATGGTTTTACTTTAAAATCAATCCCTGGTTCAGTTATTGCCCGCACCAGACAAGCTCAGGGTGGAAGGTAGAAAGGCAGGTCTCTGTAGTGTTCCTGGAAACATGCATTTCCTCCTCCCTCTTGGAGCCCTCTGGACTCCGATAACAGAGAATCAAGTGGTTCCAAAATCCAAGCCACTTTACGGGGCCTCCTCTTGCTCAATGCCCAGGGTCATTAATTTGGCTGAAATACAGATTTCTCACCTGTCTTCTCCATATCAGAACATAGGAGGAGACTGCACCTCAGAGATGAGCAGATTCGATACAATCTCATTCTCCATCCCTGTCCCAGACCCTGGGTACAGCACAGAGTCCCAGGGAGTGACAGCCATGAGCAGTGGCAGCCAGCACTGAGCTGAGACATGTGGAACAACAGGCTCTGGAGGGAAGGGAAGTAGCATCTGCTGATTTCCATGGTGTAAATACTGCTACCGTAGCCGATTTCAATCTGTTCACAAAATCTAAAAGTGTGACACTCTGCTACCCTGAGACACCCAACCAATCCCTTGAAGGGCAAGCTCTAGGACTTTAAAATGAGGGGTCCACAGGGCTTCCCTTATGTACCAGATCTGAGCTGGGAAGTAGATATTTTGGTTGCATCTCATGGTTAAAAAAAAAAAAAATGAAAAATCCACTCTGCTTTGTGTACATTGATATATAGTTATTATATGATAGGACAAATAACTGAATGACCAGGTTAAATTATCAATGGAGGCCGGGCATGGATGGATCACACCTATAATCCCAGCATTTTGGGAGGCCGAGATGGGTAGATCACTTAAGGTCAGTAGTTCGAGACCAACCTGGCCAACATGGTGAAATCCCATCTCTACTAAACAATACAAACATTAGCCGGGTGTTGTGGTGGGCACCTGTAATTCCAGCTACTCAGGAGGTCGAGGCAAGAGAATTGCTTGAGCCCAGGAGGCGGAGGTTGCAGTGGGCCAAGATCATACCACTGCACTCCAGCCTGGGCAACAGAGTGAGACGCCATCTCAAAAAAATAAAAATCAATGGAGTTTTTCTTGGAAAATATTCTAAAGCCTACAAATAAGGAACTGGAGAACACTCTGAAGCTGGGAAAAAGTCAGTTCCTCTCCCCACTTGCCACCCCAATAAAGCATACAGGGGTTTTGAATAAAATTTCATCTGCATTCAGAAGAGTCCTGGTGAGGGCAAGCAACTTGGAGCCCATGACTTTGAATGCAAGTGACAAATCTTGCCCCCACATTTCCACACTGTCCTTCAGGTTTGACCTGCCCCAAAGGGCCATGGGCCTGCTCATGGGGAAGCCAGCACTCTTTGAATATCGCTGATGGCCCTGGGCAATGTATGTATGTTTCTTAGAACATGTCTTTTGTGCAGTCTCTTTAATAGGACTTCTTTTCCCTATCGAGTTTGTCAGGCAGGTGCTTCCCTGTAGTTCTTAACCTGTGCAGGAATTTCTGTGTCACCGGCTACAACCACTTTCCGTAGCTTCCAAATTATTTTTCATAAGAGACTCTCCTTCATGATTTTCATTTGCTTATGTAGATTTCCAAAAGGCTTCAGCAGAGAACATTTGTGGCTGAGACAGGTTAACCTCTGTGAGCTTCCATTTTGTCTGAAATCAACGAGGGTTGGTGGACGCTCTCACCTATAACCAGCGCACAGTTGGCGCTGAATAAAGGACACATCCTTTTAGGTGCATTTCAGCGGGATGAATTCTGCAAGTAGGTTAGACATACAAAAAGTTTGCAAAATCATGCCTTTTAGTCCCTTGTAAAACACTGGGACGATTCACTAAAATCACTCTGCTTTATGCAGTGCGGGCTTGCATGAATGCCAAGAATTTGCCTGCTTATTTCAGAGCTCTCAGTATTATGCTTGTGTCTTCTGGGAAAGTTCAGGGTCACGTAGGCTACCTGTCAGTCACTAATGGGAGTTGCTGAAGGCTGAGAACAGGGCAAATGGGGCAGTGAATTTAAAAAAAAAAAAAAACAATCATTTCTTAGAACAGTGGTAATTCCCTGTAGGATCTATGGGATTCCTAGGCAGGAGAGCCTCAGACCAATGGGGTGTAGGTCTTGGCGACTTGTGCAAACTCATCAGCAACTACGGCGTGGAAACCCCAGCAGCACTTTCCAGCTAAGATTTCCTACCCCAAACATTTAGTGTCTTGATGTGTCAAGGCTGGCACTGGTGAAAGCCTAATGATACTCTGCTGTTTGGAGAAGACCAGAAATGAACGTGAGAAGCTTTATTGGAGGCTAACAAGCACATGATCAGGATCTGTCACTGCCCAGAGTGAAGCAGATTCTTCTACTGGCCAGGCCTCCCTCAGCATTTGCTGGGTGTTACCTGTAGGCTTGGGGTAGGAGGGAGAGAGCAGGAAGACCCAGGCCCTTAAACATGACCAGCAGGTTGTGATGAGACCCTGAAGCGTCAGGGCTTTGTGGCTTTACTAATGAAGAGCAAAGATGAGGGAATGATTAAAAAAAGAAAATCCTA